CTTTGTTTAATTTTGGCTACAGGGTGGACAGTTTTCATGATTGGCTCATTTCTGGTTTTCATCTGAAAATGTGAACCTAAAAAACATGCAATATCAACAACCAATACCTAAACAGGACATTGGGGCTTTTGTCATGTAGAATAATGCAGCATTTTATTTTTCTTGTTAAATAAATTCAGAACTAAGTTTTAAAATGCCTGAAGAATGTTTAGTTACTGGTTTCTTTCCTTCTGCTTTACCACAAGAAATTAACCTGTACTTGTTGCTTTATAGCCAATGCACACCAACACAGCTCCTTGTTCTAACCTCTAAATGTTAAAACTTTCAATGTTGCACTCTTAGAAACAAAGGATGGCTCTTTAAGTTTCAAATACTTGTATCTGCTGTGGCACCCATTAAGGCGATATCCATACTGAGCTGCAAAAGAAACCTATTATAGCTACAACACATTTATAGCATTATCAGAAAAATGCACAATCTTTCTTGTGGCAGGCTCACATTTTATTGAACAGAAATGAAATAGGTCATTTCATTATGCTGATTAACATTTGTCATTGTGGTTTACCATGAAAGTCACAGCACTGCAGCGTGTGTGGTCACTGTTGGAAGTAATACAAGCTCTACATGTGTGACACATGCTTTGAAGCAGATTGCAGATGTTTTCATATGGGATTATGTATTCAATGGCACACGCCACCTGTCATCCCACCTCATCACACAATTTGTTCCATGGGGGTTTAAGTCTAGGGAATAGGGCATGTATAGCATAAATGTAATATTCTCATCGAGTAAGTTAGATATTGTTACATGTACCTACGTTAATTCTGTCATGTTAGGATGATCTCATAAGAAGGACAACAGGCGAGTCCTCAAGACTTGATCAACGTTGTGCAGTCAGGTTTCCACAAATCACTTGCTGTGACCTGGTCTTTCTGATACAGTGGAAGTTGGAATGTGAAAGTTATCACAAAGATGGAACATGTTAATGCATCGTGCTTCGCAATGTGAAGTGACTCTGGTCTCCCAGATCGTGGTCAAGGACTGACATACTATTTGGATGTAATGTCTTGCAACTTCAGTAAAAAAAACTGGCTGTGAAGTACAGTGTGCTGACTTTGTCTAGCCTTCAATATAGAGAGGGTATGAATATACTGTTCCCCTGATAAGCTCAGCATATTTTGTATTTGTTTCTTATTTTTTACTGTGCTTGACATTAAACAGGTTAAACTATCTCATTACCTGTGCCTGATCAACTCTTTTACTAATGAGCTGATTAAGTACTTAAACTGAAGTCAACGTCAACTCAGTGTGTCATGATCAGGCATAAGTGATTAATTAATGTAAGTAAATACAGTGATACATTTCTTTTTATTTTGAGTATATATGATATACTTCACATGTGCTTTGTTTTTAACAGAAAGACGACAGTGATAAAATATCTCATTTTTATTATTTTCTGTTATTCTGTTAGATTATTCTATTATTACGTTCATTCAGTACCTACTACACACAATCTCATTTTAAAGATTTTTCTTTGTACCACATGGAATTCTCTTCATAGCCAAAGGAGTTACTAGCAAAGTAAAAGATCAACAGCTATATCATTATTGTTCCAGAACCTCTGCTTAGTTAATTACATGCCATCTGGCAGAGCAAAACCTGATAATAATAGATAAAAACTGCAGATGATTATCTGACTAATGCTACCAGTTTAGAAGCTGAACTAGTCCTGCATATTGATTGAATAAATATCCTACCCAAGTTCTGTCATTGCCTTCAGAAACTGGATATAAACAATATCACCCTTGAATGACAATTTTCCATTTCAAATGTCACCCCAGGGATGAGACAAACAAGAACATTTTCTGGTGCAAGAACATCTTGAGACAATGTAGACAATGTCTTATTTTCAGTTTTGCAAGAGTGTTGGAAAACTGTCTTCATACCTTCTTTTCTTTCAGTTGTCTGGCTGTTTAATTGCATTTCCTGCTTTACTGACCGGAAATACCACCATTTTGCATCTGTCTGAGCTATTTCAGCCAAGCAGCACTTTCTGTAAGTTACAAATACAGTAATGTACTCCACCAGAAAAACAAAACAACTGTCACACAGCTAGTCAGATTTAAAGCCCACCAGCTAAAAATCCCACCAAAATTTAATTTAATATATGCATTATATTGTTAAATAAGCCCTTAAATTAATAATGTAACCCTACCTCTATTTGTATTAGATTCATTTTAATTTTATTAGATAATTCGTATTTCAATCTGTATGAAAATGTATTTGGTGGGCTATTTTCCAATGGGTGAGTAATTGCTGTTTTTTCTCATTCTCTACATTTTGCAGGGATGCCTAACAACTAAAAATGAATGATGACAGTAGACAATTTGAACTTACAATAATTACAGCAAGAAACTTTTTTCTTAAGGAACAAATAAGGAATACTAGGGTTAAGAATATTCTATTAGGTCCATACCATGTAAATTTTGCCTCATTTCAGACAATTTTATAATAATAAACTGTTAATTTTAGATTTTTTTTCATAACAATAGTTTTGGAAGATTAAGTATATTTAGCTGTAGAACCATAGAATTTATGGAGCTTGAAGGACACAACTACATTGCCATGAGTAGCTGTAACAAACAATAATGAGCGTACTGTAAATGATTAACAGAAAAACTCTGTTGTTACAAGGCTAGATCCACATATTAAACCTTTTATAGTGTGTTTTTTATTATTTTTGTCTGACCTTTTAATGATGTACATTTGTCCTGAGTGAGGGTGGAAGAATAGCAATTAGGATTTCTCTATTTATTTGTAAGGTGGTCAGGTGTCCTTTATGGTATTATGTTTTTTTTTTGTAAAAATGTATTTTTTAGCATAATAGAATGTTACAAAATCATCATTCTTTTATTATTAACATTTAAATTCTAAACAAATTAATATTGTTCTGTTTGATCGCATTATAGTATGTTATTAAACATACTAGTCTTTGGTACTTGATGTTGATCAGTAACGGTATACATGAGACCTTGGACACTTATTTAATGTTTGTCACTAAATTTCATGTCAAATAAAAATATATATCATTCTTTTATTTGTTAAGGAACTAAGAAATCAATTGCCAGCCTGTGTAAACAATGTATATGTTACTAGGTGCCAAAACATGGTGGTATAAAGTCAATTTATAATATGTTTTCCCCCTAAAGGTGTGCCTTCTGAGAATCAGATATTACTCTTCTGTTTTTTCCTTCACTGACAAAAATAACAGTTTAGTTGCTTTTCTTTAAAACCCCAAAACATGACTGAAAGGGCTTGAAGAAAGGGCTTCTCCAAAAGAAAAACAATTTCAGACCAACAGTACACTTCATTTTTGCAATCAACATACATGGTAGTAAATACGCAACAAAAGTAAGATATCTGAATTTATAAGACAAACTATGACAAGTGGGCTTTAGGGGGTTAATTTTATGGTCCATAATAGGAGGCAGTTATGTCAATAAGAATAAAACAAATGTTCTACAGTCAACCACACATGACAACTGTGGAGGAAGAGGGGATTGTGGTAAATATTTCTAATTGTGATCCTTTGAACTCTATCTGCACTGACAGCGTCTTGTGTCTGTCAGGCATGCAGTGGTCATTTGAAATCAATATTGGATGCTGTGGGGTCAGACCATCTACTGCTGGTCTCAGATAGTAAAAAGGTTTATATTTCAAGTGTAGAAGAAACTGAATTAACCCTTTAAATTGAAAATCAACACCAGTATTGTACAACAGCCCCCAGGAGACAGATTTACTCATCCAGTATGTCCTTTATATTACTCTGAACTGAACTGGAAAATAATTAAAACTTGATACTTCTCCATGATCAGGTTAATTTTTACTGATTAGATTCAACGTCATTTGCCTTATGAATTACAAATTCAGAAAGAATTGTTTTTAAGAAATGGTGGTGGATTGTATATGTATTATAATATATTATTACATGGAATATATTGTTGTCTGCAATAGAGGATATATATACAGACCTCTAAACATGTATTGAGCATTATGACTCTTAAACTTAGCATTATGACTATTTTACAGGAATAAAAATAAATAAGTGAAAATGAAAAATATCGTATTTGAGTATAATTTCCTGTTTAGTTCCTTCTAAATGGATCCCAAACAGCAATGTGGTCTCTAATCTAAGATGTTTCCCATGTTTCCAATAAACTTGGTTGCACAGTATGGCCCTTATAATCAGTAAGTTGTTTTTTTTATTCAGGCCAAACAGTCAACAATGGTTTCCTTTGCCTCCGTCTGAACTTTGACATATTGAAAGGCATGATGAATATTATTCAGTCACTGATGAATATGCAAGTGTTTGTAGTTGAATGTGTTGATTTCCAGTGATTTTCGTGTAAATGATGATATGGTCCAACCCTTATGAAGATAGCCTATAGACAACCAATAATTTTCTACATAAATTCCAAATTTGTACACAAACCTTTAGGTTATTTTCTTCAGGTCAGTAAAGTATACCAGAACATCTACACATGTCATACTTTTTATTGGCGTACTGGAGTTTATCTCTCATAGTTACAGAGAGCTCGGATTAAGAGCTCTTCTTTAGATATGGGGCTGTCCGCAGTGCTGAAAGTTCAAGGCCTGTTGAAAATTATTGTTGGTTGCAACGTTGGCTGCAGTAGTACGGTACGGTCAAGGTGTTGCTGATACGATACTCAACACACGAAATACTCCTTAATGTACAGCATTTTCGAATGAAAACACAGACAACGTTCTCTTAATACCCGCGCGAAAAGTCATGTACAAAAACATTCCTGCTTGCGTTCAATTGCAATAAAAGTTTTTTTTTAGTTACTTTCAAGATTCGTGATGGACATATATTCACATATTTAAATGAACACGCCTCATACATCTGCCCAGCGAGGTTTCTCACCTGCAGTCTCAAGGCCGTACCCTGTTTGGACTGAGTGCGCTGTGACTAACGTGCTTTCTAGCCCTCCCTCGCCGTGCTCTCTCCCCTGCTCAGGCTGTTGCAGTGCTGAAGCTATAACAACACTCCCTTTCTCCCACTTTCTCACCGTTTAGTCTGCGCTCAGAAGCTCTGAGGATTAAATCCTACGGTCCCCGCAATGAAAACCAAGTGTTTTGTGTTTCTGCTGACATTTTCCTACATTGTTTTTCTTCTCTCCGGTAAGTACTGCAAATCTTTGAGCTAAATTTGCATGTGGTTTTCGTTTTAGTATTCTAGTATGAGGGAATTATTTAATACGCTGTAACCTGTTATAGTACAGTACATATGGTACCCTACAGTAACCTATGTGTGCCGCACTAGCTTTCTAAGAAGGTACAGTATTAAACTTTTAGCTGTCTCTTTACAAAGCAAACTTTGAAATACATTTCCTTCGGAAACTAACAGCGACATACTGAGATAAGCATGAAAACTTGTGCAAATCTACATGTATAGATTAATTTAATGATTCTAAATGATGATACATGTTCATTGTTTTATAATGCAGTTGTAGGAAATAATTGAAAATAGAATTAAGTCAACATTTAGCCAGTGTGTTTTCACGATACAGAAAGTAGTTAAGGTATGATCACATTTAAGATCATTTATTCTTATGTAACTGGGATTATATTTTTAACAGTTAAAATGTAATTGTAATTTAATCTCATTAAACAGAAGAAAACAATCGTCGTGTTACAGTTAAAAGCAACAGTAATTTAAAGGACAGCAAATGTATCCGTTTATTAATCATTTATAGTAAGTTAATTCAGTTGAACTGTTTTTTTTTTTTCAGTATTAGCGATTAACAATTTTCACGCCCTACCTGCAAATAGACAACGGAATGCTCCCTTACTTCAAATTTGTATTTTTCATCAAGTGAAAGAAGTGCTACAGTATATATCGCGTTTTTACTTCAACAAATAACAGAAGAAAGGGAATATGCCGCTATATTCAGTTACTTTAAAACAGCGAATTACAGTACACACATTTACCTGAGATTTCACGAGCATTAATAACTTAAAACACACAAATTGTCTTTCTTCCACGGTTTGTTTTAAAATCGGTAAGCAAAAGAAGCTGTACTGTACAGTACGTGTCCTAAGCTGTTCTAAAAAAAGGGCACGAAGGGTTGAAGGTGTTCACTTTATACCCTTCTGAGAGTGAAGGTATTAAGGGTACAGGGGTCCAGTGTAATATTAAAAATGAACAAGGATGCTTAACGTTAACGATAACGTTGTTGGCATCTTTCCTTGCTGCGAAAGATATCTTGCTCTCGAAGTGACGTTTGGGTGCCTAGCGGGACGGACCAGCGGCAGATATTGGACAGGAGCTTACTGTACTGGAGCTACGCCTCCGTCGTCAGATGAAAGCCATCAATTAGGAGATTAATTGTTCGGTCAGTGCAGTGGTATGACAGTTACAGCCACTACCTTAGGCTCTAGGTGTTTGATTCTGGCCTGGAGTGCCTTCTTGGTGGAGTTATCGTGTTCTCCTCATTTTTATATTGGTTTTTACATTGATGCGTCTTTTTCCTTCCTTCTTCCTAAGCCTTGCCGAAAAGGCTAATTGAGGTAAATTATGCCTGTGTGTGTGCCCTCCAAAAGACTAGCATCCCATTCAATGTGCAGTCCTGCCCTGGGCTCTGTACTTTCAGCATAGACTAAGGGTTGACACGACAATTCACAGCAATAAATGTTTTTTTTCTGATAATGGATAGACCGCACAGCAAGATCATAATTCCTTAGTTATTCATAGAATGTGGCTTGAAATTGCCAAATGGGTTATCTGACACTAAACCGCTTAAATATTGTGCAAGAGGCTGACATGTAAATATTATTTTGCAGTGTTTGTCTATTTGCATGTGATAAATTAAAAAGATAATTAAACCGGATTTAAAAATTAGAAGGATTAGTAAATATCAAGACTTAAGACCGTTCTGAAATAATAAAAATGTATGTGTCCAGCTTTAAACACTGAAAAAAATGATGTAGCTAGGTAAAAAGAAAAAAAGTTAAGTTAAAAAACAAAGGAAGCATTGTCTTCCAGACTCTGGAAGGTGGTAACCCCTTAAGATTACATGCTGCTGTTGGTAATTATTATATTTCCACATACTCTTAGAGGTTAAGACGTCAATATACACTAGTTAATAAGGTGTAAATCTGTTTTACTGCTGTTGTTTAAAGGGCTGTTGCACTTCTGAAATATGTATTGTACTGTAGTGCTTTTTTCTGCTGCAAATTAAGTTCACAGCTTTGGAATAGTCAAAGAGAAAGTATACTGTATATCAATGAGAAAGCGGTGCATTCTTTTGTTATTTCGGGCGGTGTGACGATGTTTCTCTTCTTTTTTCTCCAGGTGGTACATGTTCTGAAGCAGAGCACCGGTTATTTTCTGTTATTTTTGCCAATTACAACCAGTACATACGGCCTGTGGAGAATGTGTCCGACCCAGTCATTGTGCAGTTTGAAGTGTCCATGTCCCAGCTGGTTAAAGTGGTAGGCATCAACTTTCTGATTTGTCTTTGTCAGGCTTATACAGGTGGCTTTTGTCTTGAATGGCTCTATATATTATGAGAAAAGGGAATGTGTAGCTATGACAAATCATTACTTAAATAAAACATTGGGGCTTTTGACTTAATCCAGAGAGTGCCATCATAGTGATGCACTTCCTTAAATGAATATGCATTGATTTATGATGCATCACAAGAAATAAAAAGCTGAAAGGGCACTGTGTATGTTAGCAGAAAATGCAAAGGCTATGAGGTGGTGTGTTTTAAGGTAGAGTAATGATTTCTGGGAATTAAAGGACTTAAATATCCCAATACATAGGATAGCTTGATACTGCTGCCTACAATAGAGGACCATAAACATACAACAACATTACCTTATTAACCCTTTACAATTTCTTGCATTAGGAATTATCTTTTCACATACCCCAGCTTGCTCTCCATGAGACACACAGACAGGGAGAGAACCTGGGGTCAGAGCACAGGGTCAGCCATTGTACAGCACCCCTGGAGCAGTTGGGGTTAAGGGCCTTGATCAGTAGCCTAACAGAGTTGGATTACTCTGCTAGCTGCAGGATTTGAACCAGCAACCTTCTAGCCACAGGAGCAGATCCTTAGCCACAGAGCCACCGCTCTGCCCAGTACAGCCTATTAATTTTTGGATTTCAATGTCTTACATCAAATTAATCCATCATAGTCAAACAACTACTGTCAGCTAAACTGATTTCTCCCTGCAGAACTTTGACTGATGCTTCTTCAAATACTGTACCTTTCAGGCTGCTTCTGAAAATTCCAGTGAATTGCAAACTCCCTTTCGCTCCTCTCCAAGACTAAACCACCTTTAAGTCTTTAAAGTATAATCAGTAGGGCATTCAGTTTCTCATATTTAATTGCTAAAAGTATCCGAGTTAACATTCAAAGATAATGAAACCGCTTAATTTAATTAAATCAGTAAAATTAACACATAACCCAGACTATGTTAGTTCCTAAAGAAGTATGCTTTACTTCAGACTGGTGTCAGAAGTTAGTGACTGAAGAGGAATATAGTCTAGTTTGTTTTGATATGATACAATGGAATGTTATGTGACAGATAAGTAGTGGCCATTGAATGGGAGATATTGAATTTGAGCATTAAGAGCTAATGGATTAGTGTAGCTCAGTGACTAAACAATAATTGGAAGAGATCTGACAGAAAGTGTGGAAAAGTAGGTGTAGGAGACCGCTTTTGTTCAGAAACACGTAGACTTATCTAAAACAGAGAATAATTTTTATTTTTTTATAAATCATTAATAGTATGATTTTTTTAAGTGCAAAAAGCAAAATGGTGTTAATAAATTATTGCAATTTGTCAGCTTAAATGGGCTCAGTAAATAACTCTGCTAATGTTACAGTAGTATTCTAATATGTTCTGCTGATAGTACTGTCATTTATTGCCTGATGCAAGACAAATTTAAACTAGAGAATATGTATAAATGCATTTTGAAAAGATTCTTTTAGTATTTTATATTTATGACTCAGACAGTATGCCTTTTTAGTCACTCCTTGCCACAGGGGAAATACAGTGTAGTCTGCAGTGGAATAAAAAAGAATACTTATATTTGTTGCTTAATATGTAGAGATGGATTTAATTTACTTACAAGACTTAGAAACAACATTGAGCGTTACTTCTAAAATAACGCCATTGATTAGATAATTAGGAAGCAACGTCTTTTTTGTTATAAGGTAAAGCATTTAATTTACTCTGCTTGTTGGCTCATGTTATTGCATTTTTAGTGTCTCATACACTACTTATAAAAGTAAAAAGCGGTACTGTACACTTCTTATTAGCAGCTTGAATTGACAACTGGTTTATCACATATTATGTGCTTGCTTTTCAATGTTTAAGTTCTTTCAAAAATTAGCTGCCGGTGGCCTTTATAGGAAACATTTATCGCCATTTTGCTTATAAAATGAAGACCTATCTGGGATCCTTATGATAAGAACTGTCTTCTTAAGTCTCAAGGCTGGAGACAAACTGTGTACATCTGTATCTATCTCAACAGGCCTTAGGGTATGTTGACCTGATTAGGACCTATGAACTATGCATCAGTGCTTGTTGGATGCAAATGTTTCTGATGGGTGTTAGCATGATGCAGGTAGGGAACGGTGTGTGGGGACCTGACAAGACAAGAAAAGATGGGGAGGCTATGTGTTTAGTGCAGGTGATATAAAATAAAGAACACAGAACAAACCCAAAATAAATACTCCTTCCATCAACTGGACTGTTTACTCTGTCAAGTTCAGTAAAAGCATCCATCTCAGTACTCGACTGAGAAAGCCCTGAAGTAGAGGACTTTAATTAAATAAGATATATATGTAAATGCTTCAAATGAACACTGCATTGCAGCAGTGAACACTGGAGGGCTTTTACTTAATAAGCAGACAGCATATGCTCCCATATGCTGGAGAAAATAAAATAAAGATGTTCATAGTGAAAATTCTGGGTATCAGACATTTTGAAGCTAGTAAAAGAAAAAGTAAATTGTGTGGAATTGTGTATTACTGACAACAGCTTAGAAAGCTGCTTATACAAGATACCAACTAATTACTGTCATGTAGAACATACTTTTCTCTAAGGTTGTAAAATATTCTTATAATTAAACCTACAGCAATAGTAGTTCCTAATATTAATTACCAGTATGCTTACCATTACTTGAAAATCCTCTGTGTATCGAGTCCATAAACATATAACTTCTTATCACATTGTCTGGGTCTGAATCTGGTTAGAGAGACCAAATGAAAGAGGATTAGCTATTGAAAAAAACTTTCAGAAGTTGAAATTTAGTCTGTGATCTCTATGTTATTAATTTTTATTAATTGAATTGTTACTCTGATTGAATAGGGTAGAATCCTATGTGTTCTGATTCTCCTTTGATCTGAAAAGTGAAATCATGGACATGATACTGTACTGTACATGAAACATTAGAAGTGTAGAAAACAACGTATTAGCACAAAAAAATATCAAATAGTCCCTGTAAAAATGTCAAAATCAAACACTTGTTTTCTTCAATAACTTTGTATGTTGACAAAATATTAACTGCTTTTCAACCATACTTCTTCAAGGTTCTAACCAATTTCCCAAGCTAAAAGAAAAAAACCCTTTCCATCAAACAGCAATCAGATGTTGGCTCCTGACCTTAGGTGTTCTTGTGGCTTGCGCTTTTTGATTAATGACAGTGATTTCAGCTACAGTCAGCTCCTTGTAAAACCATTTCCATTTATGATGCCTTAGCTTATGCTTTAAAAAGCCCTATAAGATTATATTCTTAATATATCAATATTTAATCTTCTTTGATGGCAAAAAATCTAATTTCTGCTATTACTCCAAGACGAAGGTCTCTTTAATCAATTCTTCCTGTAAACACATTGCTTTACCATTGACCAACTACTTGTACTTCTGGACTCTATTGCAACTGTGTTTCAGGACCTGACAGGAGGAAAAGGTGTATCTTTTACAATTGATACCGCAACCCACACCATATTTTTAATCCTTACAGAAAAAAATCCTAGTGCACTATTGGGCTTTCTGGCACACCTTTCCTTTATGGTTTAAAAGTTTACTCTACCTATAAACCATTTTCAGTGATGAAATTAAGTTTTACTGTAACTCATATGAAAACTGCTGTAATGGTTAAAGTTGGGTTTTTTTTGTAATGGTTTTTGCTGGATCAGACAGCCACATGGCGCCAGTTTATTCACAGTTCAAAGCACTAAAATCTCTCCAGGACTTACTGACTCCTGGTTTCTCTTGTTTATCCTGTCAGTAGAGAAAAAAAAACTGTCTGGGAGCAGCAGTTATATTTCCCGGAGAGGATTGTGACAGTATAAAAGTGGCACTTGATCTCCCATTCTCTTCTGACTATCTACTTGAAACAGATGCTTTTCATACAAAGAATGCCTATGGATTTGAGGGCTCAGGTGTTTGTCTCAGTTTTTTGGAACCTCATTAGAAAATGCTCTGCTGCAGTACAAAGAACTTTCAGTGGATTTCTAAAATTCATTTTTTTATTGGTTCTATTTTTTAGTTTAATCAAATGGGTGTTTTGTTTTACATATCATAATAGTTTTTTTAAAATATTTTTTTCTATCTCTAATCTTTTCCCTTTTTTATTATTTTGCCCTGTGCAGAGAGTCAAATTTTAATACATATATTTGCATTGAATCACGACAGAAAACAGGACAGAGCTAATTAAAATGTGTGCCAGACACATTCAAACACACATTCTAAGCATGAACAAAAAAGTTGCAGTTGATTAATATTTAACTGTCTTTTGTTTGTTTTCTTTCATTTATTTTATCTTCAGGATGAAGTCAATCAGATCATGGAAACAAATCTTTGGCTGAGACATGTAAGTTAATTTTCTATCCTCAAAATTTTAAGGGATTATTATTTAGGGGGAAAAGAGGTGGTATCATAAAAAGAGGTGGTATCATTCATAAAATCCCTTCCTTTTGTGTATGGAATTAAAATTAATGTATCATTACATCACAGTCAGGACCTGCAATATCTGATCTCTAATACCACAATTTCAATATGAACTACTTGAACATATTGTCACGGACGTCGAAAGGGACCAACCGTGGGGAGCAGGAGAGCGGGAAAAGACCCATATGCATAGCGGCGAGACGGGAAAAAGGCCCGGGCTCGTTAGTGCAAAGAGTTCAGGAATGCCGTATAGAAACCTATGCCCTCAGGGAGCGGCCGTGGGGCGCCCTGGTGCTAGGCGGGTCTCAGGACATCCGAACGTCAATGCTGAGCGAGGACAGAGTCCAAGACCCGGAAATATACAGCCCAAGGGAAAGAGAGGGACCGGAAGGACAGCAGACCGGAAACTAGGGACAGGACAGAGAAGGAGCGCCCTCTGGCTGCAGAGGGCGTGACACATATATTTAAACTGAAGGCGAATATTAAAAGTGAAACATACCAAATACAGTTGACAGTGTTTCTCAATCTACCTTTCAGATTTCATGTCTACTGCATATGTTTCTACTAGCATTCAGCTACTAAATACAGTACTGTATATCTTCCATATCAACTGATGTCATTTTATCATCTAAAAAGTGATACAATTTACTGTCTAAAGAACAGGAAATCTCAATTATATGCACTGGATACTTCGTTGTAAACACTTTTGTGAAGATGTATCAAAAAGGTGTAAAGAAATCAAAATCCCTCTGAACTCAATAGATGTAAAGAGATTCTTCAGTAATACCTGTAACATATGGACTCCAAGATGAAAACTTTAAAAACTTTTGCTTTTTATATATTCCATTCTGAAAATATTTTGTTAATGTTTCCTTTGTTTTATATATCTCAAAGTACTATCTTTTACAAAGGAAAGAGAATTAGAGATTCACAAACTATACAGTCATCTTGTCTCAGTAATGTGATGATCAATGGAGGTACTAGTGAACAAATGCTTAACTAAGCTGTTATGCTCTTGTCCTATAAAGCTTTATTTTGAGGTTTTAATAATTAATATGCCCAAACCTTTTAAATCTTTTAATATCGATTGTTGTATTTGTGTGCATTAGACTGCCGAACATGCTTTTTTATTTCTTCTGCAATTATTCTGGGGAGACCTGTCAAATTTAAACTGGAATGGCATGGTGGGAAGCTTCTATAAGTAGTTATGAGGTATTGCAGTTTTCATCATTAATGAAACATTTATATTTTGATGCAATAACAGGACAGTTTATTTAAATATTAATTAATGCTTTGTGGACCACCTTTGTCAGAACAGTTCTACATTATTATTAGAATTAGTATTGCTGTTTATTCAACCTGTGGAAAACACAAGGGAAAAACTGTAATGTTTTTGTAGTAGACCTAACTGACCCACTATTAAATAATATTGTAGTGCTTCAGGGTTCATGTGGGCGTTCACCGCTGCCACATCAGGTCAGCCCCCTACCATCAGGAACTCGAACCCAGGTCTCTGGCATCACTCAACAGGGTCCCAGCCAGTTGAGCTAAAGGGAGATCTCCCGTCAGCCCAGCAGCTGCGGTCCCTGCTATCCACAGGGAAGGGCGGTGACGTCACCGCTCTGATAAGCCTGCTCTCGCAAGCAATGGAGGCTGTATGTATTACAATATTAATAAACCTTAAATCTAACCAGATACTGTAGATCCATTAGACACAAATTTGGTTTTAAACAACCTGGCTTTAATCTGGCACTTTTCATGTCCACGGAGCTCAATGTGCTTTCCGTGTACAACAGAGTGTCCACCACTAGTTTTCAACCAGCAGTAATTGCGCTTCATCTAAACCTCATAGGCTACAAACTCATTCATACAGGAGAGCATTTTACTAAAGAAGTCTCTGTTAAGTACTGACCACTTCACTGGGGAATAAATGCCAGTATCCCAGTCAATACTTGCACACACAGCTTTCCAATTAGGAGTCCAAAGCTCCTTCCCACTACTCCACACTGCATACATACAGTACTTTTTAAGGGAAAAAATACTGGCATTTAAATCTCTCAGCTAATATGTCCTTCCCACAAGACTTTGTAAACCTCTGCAGCTACAGTAGGATTAAGTCAGATTTGCATGGCCAGCCTCTCTGATGTACTGCCATCTACTGATGAATAACAGAACATGCAAAAAGGAAAACATTTGATATCTTATTTGTGAATGATCAAATCATAGAATAATGAAGAATAATTTTTAAATTTAAAAAAATTGTATAGATAAATAAGACTGAATGATCTAGTTAGACTGATGACACAGTTTCCAGATTTGTTAGCAGCAATTGCAAGACTGTTATAGCTCTCACTGTACGTAGTGAAAACATAAAATATACTGTTTACATATTAGTTGAATAAACCAGCAAAGAGAATGGGAAGAGGCTAGAGTCCTGGCTTTTGAGTAAGATTACACAGATTAATGCTCTCTAGTGAAAAAATCACTCCTGTCTATAGTGTTGAGGTACAGTAGGTTTGTCTCACTGCAAAATTAAAAGTTTAAAACAGATGATCAGGTTTGTAATTATGCTTTTATCACACTTTGTATCTTATTTTAAGAAAACTTCTACAGGCATCATCTTATAATGTTGGTAAATTATTTTTTTAAATCTTGACTTGACGTTGTATTAAGACATTCACTCTTTACTGCAGCGGCATACACGATCAAAATCTGTCTGTTCCAGCCTGTTACATTTAAACACATTTAAGGATTTATTTCTCCATGCAGAAGTTCACACAGTTTGGGTGTGACACCTCAGTATCTCAGGTAAGACAATAACTGCCAAAAATAATGGATTATTCTACCCAGTTTCTTTAAATGTTTTCTGGCAGACAGAGTCCTTAATGGAATAGGTATTTCTACTGTACGACAGAAGTCAGCATCTGCAAATGATTGTCTAATTCCAATTATTAAACTTCACAATGTTGTGTATAATGAAGCACAAAGAAGACTGGTTGTGGGGGAAAAGGCTTCAATGGCCCTATGGCCCTGTATCGGTTCTGCCTTGTCCCCATGTCCTTTGTGCTCTCCTTCAGATTTAATCGAATCTTGCAGAACTGTCAATGAGGAGGCAGTGAAAGGTCAAAGCAATAAACAGCTTTGTAGAATGGGAATGTCAGCTGTGAATAAAAATGTCAAATCTCTGGGATCCCTCAGACTGAAGCAAATGATATACGACGTGGGTCATTTTATTTACGTCTCATCCTCCTCATCCCAGACATGTGGATGGAGCCTGTTCAGGGAATCCCTAAGTGAAATGGAGGTCCTTTTCAATTACCTGCCTGCAATCAGCCACCTGTCTTCTCCTTTCTTACCCTTGGTGTCCTTCCTGACATCCCTGGAGAAGACAGAGAGAAATTATTTAATTCATGATTCCTGAGAATATAAAGGACTATTTGTTTCTGCACTTTGACCCTTTTCCTCTTGAAATCTGTCAACGGGCTAGCTTGGTTCTACTATTTACTTAGACTGACAAAACCAAATTTGACACTTTTTATTCCTGAAATGTCTGATGATTCTGACTGTTACAGCTCTATACAATGTTAAAAATTTATAGTAGTATTTTGAGCACATCTTCCCCCTGACAGATGAACCAAATTCCACTTCACCAATATTATATGCTTTAATGTGGCCTGTTCTGGTAAGGGTATTACTGTGGTTCTTTTTCATAAAGCAGAAAGGATTCCTTTTTTATCATATGAGAGGGAAAAACACTGAATAAACATTAAGATGATGTCATCAAGTCCCAGTGATGAAATGGTGTAAAAACAACATTCATTGATATATTTGGCTTTAGTTTCCTTGGTTTGAGGGGTGAACACTTGGTCATTGGGATGAAGAAGCCAGAATTGCTCACCTGTATTCCTGTACCTGTACACCTCATCTGTATTGACAGTGGGAATGGCGTAGGGGTGATAGTGTGATGAATGATGGAAGATAATGGTTAAGAGGCTGTATATACAGTATGCCCCCAGAAAACTGGTGATTGGTAGAAGCTGGAGATTTTTCTTTTTGAATATCCATTCATCATAAAAGCAAAGGTTAATGGAAATGAGTAATGCACTCTTAATTTAAAAGACTTCTGGAGAAACTAAAAATCACTGTGCAAATTCTAATTTTTCTTTTAACAAAGTAATGTACAGAGGTACTGTATACGTATACTAACTCATGAAAAAATCTGAAATAAACTGCTCAATGTTACTAAAATGAAAAAAAAAACACAGAAAAAAAGGGTAAATTCAGGACTACTAGGGTCATACATGGGCTGCCATTTGGATTAAATAGCAGTAAATTCACTGTTGAGTGAATAGTGACCCTCAGGCTGTATTCTGCATATTTAACCTTTAACTTTAGTGTGCCAACTTTAGTTCTATTTGCTTCATTGCAGTTCTTTTGAAACTTTTCCTATAATTTACGAACACAGCCTTCCAAAATATATGGAATTAAATTCCAAATGACATGCATGTGCTCAATATATTGTAATTATTACAGCGCTCTATCCCATGACAATGCTGTAAGTGGTTTTCTGCAAATGACAATATTCATTTCTGAAGCAAATAATCAGAGCAAATATATCTCTGCCCTCATGATAAAAAAAAATCAGGTTTGCCCAGAAATTTTAATGTCTATCTGTTATTAAATGTATTAAAAGCTTGAGGCCAGGAGGCACTAAAAAGAACATTTTAGAAAAAAGCTCAAAGAACTGAATTGCTCTGGGTAGTTTTGGTTGCTTATTCCCAACTGGCCTTTGACTTCCTCTACATCCATCAAAGACTCCAGAGAGAACTGTGGAACAAGAGGACTGCATGATCTTATAATGGACATTATTTCTGATCAAACTTCATGGGGAAGTATTATAAGCTCAATCTGATTTCATGCTACATGCTTATGAAGTCAGAAGAAGCATAGGGGGACTTGCTAATGTCACGAACACGGAGATCCGTGTCAGATCTTGTAGTAGACCCTATGCAATGTAGTAAGAGCTGGAGAAAACAGGAGGCGTGGTAAAAGGGAACACACAGGGGTTTAATAGTGCACAAAATAATAGTAATAATCCGTGAGATAGTGAACGGGGAAGATAAAACGGCATCCAAATCCAAATGGGTCCAAAGGCAGGTCAGGGCACAGTCCAAGAGTCCATCAACGAGTGATCCATCCTGGGACGCGACAAGGTTAAAATCCCCGGGAGGGGGAACACACAAACAGACAAAACATGGAGGTCCAAGGGTGACGGGGCAAGATCCTCCAGACCCCGGGCCCGGGAAGCGGGAGGTGTCTGGGATGAGGCCTATGCCCTCAGAAGACGGACGTAGGGTTTCCTGGTGCCAGGCTTGCCTTGCGACATCCTTACCCTAATGATGAGCCCCGAGGACTGGAGGAGCTAGTCTTTAAATAATAAAGCTAAGAGGGTCACCTGGGGAGCTTAACAATCACAAGGACAATAATGGGAGCAGTGGAGCACCCCCTAGGGAGGGATGTCGGGCGTGACAGCTAACTAAACAGTAGAATAGACTTACTGTAGAAGGAAGAATGCCATTTCATATTCTTTACTATATAATATAACATTTACATTACACTACAGAAAACAGTGAATTCTAGTGAATGTTTCTGAAAAAAAGATGAACAAGTGTTATATGAGAAACTGAGATATTTACAGTTTTAACATTGAGTGAGACAGAAAATGTTACGCTGAGACTATGAATCACACTGTTTATAAACAAGAACATGTAATAACAAATGAATTATTGTATTTTGGAAATGTATAAAATACATGCAAATAACTACACTTGTGTAGAAAATGATTAATCTCATTTTCTCTCTTCACAGATCTGGAATGACTATAAACTGAAGTGGGATCCCAGTGAATTTGGAGGTGTAGAGTTCATCAGAGTGCCTTCAAATAAAATTTGGAAGCCTGATATTGTCTTATATAACAAGTAAGCAGAATCTCCCATAGCCGCAGGGATCCATTTTCTGTAGCTTTTTTGATTTTCAAAAAGTCTGTTATACTTCAACCCATCACACTTCTCCATCACTTAAGTGAGTCATTGTGAAGACTGTGCTAACAGAAACATTTCCCAGGCCATTAGTGATTTTTTATAAGGATACTGTATATGCATTGCCATACTTGATGTATTATCATTTTCCTTTCATGCTATCCTAACAGCAGGACAATTGTTTAGGTCATAGAAAGAACATTAATGCTTTGGTTCTGAAATTGTAATATCTAATATCTTGATTTAGTTTATTTGTTTAGATGTTTCTTTACACAATGTGTTTTAAAGGGCATATGATTTCTGTTTGAACAAATTCACTCTGAAAGATTTGCTGAAGAAAGGAAAGTAGATGGTAGTAAAGGAACAATTATAGTTAATTATATGTTGAAAAGTATGAAGTGAAAGTAAAAAGTGAAAGTAGATGTGCTATCTGCTTTCTCTTTACAGCTAGTAATACAATCAATTATAAATCCTATTTGAAGACATCATTAATATTTTTTTTAAGGTATACTCTGGTAGTAAACCATTTGGCCTTTCTTAGTCACTTATGTTTGTTTCAATTAAAAAAACAGTTCTTTGAAACTAATTGCAGCATGAAAGATAACATTTGTAAACAGACATCGTATACTTTTTACATTAATTACAGCAGTATACATGCATAAAGTATTTTTAAGTGGCATTGTAACAGTACCTTAGTGTTTTTCTCAGCTCCTCTGCCAAATACAATGCAATATGAATGAAAACATTGTATGCTAAAGGTTTCACTTTTTCATTTACTTTCTGTACAGCAGTAGATCGGATCCAATCATTTTATTTGGCATTTCTGTAACCCCTATTAATTGGTGTGTTCTACTGTTTTAATCTGATTTTTTCCGCAGTGCGGTGGGGGATTTCCAAGTGGATGACAAGACCAAAGCCCTGTTGCACTACAACGGAGATGTCACCTGGATCCCACCAGCCATCTTTAAGAGCTCCTGCAAGATTGATGTCACCTACTTTCCTTTCGACTATCAGAACTGCACCATGAAGTTTGGTTCTTGGACCTATGACAAAGCCAAGATCGACCTGGTACTGATTGGCTCGACCATCAATCTCAAGGACTTCTGGGAGAGTGGAGAGTGGGTAATTATAGATGCTCCGGGCTACAAACATGATATAAAGTACAACTGCTGTGAGGAGATCTACCCTGACATCACCTACTCCCTATACATTCGGCGGCTTCCCCTTTTCTACACCATTAACATGATCATCCCATGTCTGCTCATCTCCTTCCTCACTGTGCTTGTGTTCTATTTGCCTTCAGACTGTGGTGAAAAGGTAACCCTCTGCATTTCTGTTCTGCTCTCCCTGACTGTCTTCCTGTTGGTCATCACTGAGACCATCCCTTCCACCTCTCTGGTCATCCCTCTCATTGGGGAGTACCTTCTTTTCACCATGATCTTTGTCACATTATCCATCGTCATCACAGTCTTTGTGCTCAACGTCCATTACCGAACACCCAAGACCCACACCATGCCGCAATGGGTGAGAACCGTGTTTCTTGGCATCCTCCCAAGAGTCATGTTCATGACCAGGCCAGAGAGAGAACCTGAGAAGACTAGCCAGTATCTCCCACCGCAGCCTTACCCTCATACCCACAGCCAGCAGAAGCAGCAGAATTCCAATGCTCCCCATCACAGACATCGCATTTTCATCAGCACTGAGCTATCCAATCTCAACAACCTGGCTGGCACTGGAGACTCCAAGTGTAGCACTAAGGATGGATTCCTCTGTCAAGAAGGCCGCTGCAACTGCTGTTGGCGCCAGCGCACCACCAAACTGCCGGCTGATGGAGGCCTAGGAGGAGGGAGTGGTGATATTGGTAGCTCCTACTCCAGCTCCGAGTCCCTGGATGCCCTGCTCTCCGTGTCTGCCCTATCACCTGAAGTGCGTGATGCCATTGAGAGTGTCAGATACATTGCTGAGAACATGAGGCTACAGAATGAAGCAAAGGAGGTGAGCAGAGGCAAGCACAGCCACCATGTTAGTATAAAGGAAAAAAAAAATCATTATTTGCCAAACAATGAAATCATTGATCGATTTGATTGTTTGGCAATAGGTGTTATTTTCTTTAAAAAGTTCATGACTATGGAAATGGAGATATTAGAGTCAGGTATGCACATTCTCTACTCCAAACCAAAACTGAGAAACTGAGGGACAGATATTTATTCAAATTGCACATTGAGCCCTATAGTTCAGAATCACATGTTCTAGTCGGCACTGTGTACTGTATATTAGATTATGAAGGTCAGGATTTTACAAGTGGTGATTAACAAGTTGGCCAGTGTATCAGCAGATGTCTGGACATACAGTACCAACAGCGCTGGTGCCACTGGCATGGTAGTAAAGCAAAGTGACAGATGACTCTGACATTTCAGGGCAAAACATGTACAGTCTCATCTCCACAGTGTCAGTATGAGTCTCCTGATAGTGAACCAAGTTAAGTAAAAGCACTGACCATTCTATTTGATTTTTTTTTCTCTATTTCAATCTAGATCCAAGATGATTGGAAATATGTGGCAATGGTGATAGATCGCATCTTCCTGTGGGTTTTCATACTGGTGTGCATCCTGGGGACAGCTGGCCTCTTTCTCCAGCCACTGCTCATAGGAGAAGATAGTTAACTGTCTGTGCTGTACTATTAGTATATTTCCCTCTGCTTTGTTCTATTTTTCAGATTTTTTATTAGAAGTATCCCAAGAAGCAGGGCCTTTAACTACAAGCAAGACATCACTGAAATTCATTTTTTGCATTTTACATTTTTCAGTCAAATTAAAATTTGAAATATTGGCTATCACACTTTTAACACTTTGCTCCTCAAAGGGCTCTTTTTATATAAAAAAAACTTAAAAATACATTCACTTGATATCTCTGATGTTACATCCCACTTAATATTGAAATCATAATGGTCAGTGTTACCTCTTTTATAGTTTTTGTGCACTCTGTAGTGTTAAATATTTTTTTCATTTACTTTTTTACATCATTCAATATGTATGCATAAAGCATTTTAGGCACAACATGAAGCTGCTCTGTTCTGAATTTGTAATTAAAGAAGCTATGTTTTTTTATTTGCTTAGGTTCATTCTCAGCGTTTTTTGTTGCTTTTAAATTGAAATAATGTTTGCCTTATCTTTTAGGGCTTTGAAGTCTGCGATGAAATTTATATAAAACGTTGCACTATACTTTACGTTTGGAATTTATTTTATATTGCGAATGCTTTATATGAACATTTGATGTCTTATTCGTTTTCTTATTACTGAAAAACAAGATGTCCGTGCTAGCCTGTTACTTAGAAATATGTATCATGTGCCTAAAAATAATAAAATCCACTATTCAATTATTACCAGTAAACAATTATTAATATGCAGTGGTAAAACCTTTAGTGCATATAAAGGCATGTTGTTGATACTAGTTATTGAACAGTAAAAAAGGTAGAAACAGAGCATTTTTATGTTGATGACATTGGTTGCTAAAGTCAGGTTTATTTCCGTAAATATGAGAATAAATCGTTTTTCTCCATTACAAGTTATGACAGACATTGTTTTCTCTGCACTTACACTTCAAGTGGATGATGCCTGAAAAGGCACAATTACAGTATATGCAAGCCTGTATATGACATGAAATGCATATGAAAATGTATTCTCTTTTAACATGTTACAAAGCTAGAACGACATGTTCTAGAGATGTTTTGCACTTTTTAGAGCTCATGGGAATAATGTGGCTAGACGTTTACCATTGAAGCGGCCTTATTTGCACATCTTACCTTGGTTACATTCCCAGATTATGGTGTTTCTTAAGAGTAAGCAAAAGGATAAATACGAGTAATAAGTGAGGAATATATTAAGCACCCTGAATGCAAACATTCAAATCAGCCTTACTTTTTGGTGTAGACCTAAGTATTTCTTAATGTGATTGCTTTTAAATAACTGATATAATAATCAATAATCCCAATCTTGCTTTAGGAAATCAATATCAACTTGATTTAGAATTTCCAAGAATAGTGCACTACATCAAACACAAGAAAATGAGAACACAATGCACAGATCAAGCTGAATATATTATGTTACCAGTTAATGTACTAATGTCCTATTTAGTGTATGATTTGTGTTAGCAAATTTAATATTTTATAGCCAGGTGATCATCTTTCCTATGGATTATCTGCTGTTGTACAAAGTTGAACAATATGAGCATGTAAACTCATGGGAAAAGGGTGCACCGCCACATGGAGAACATTCTATAGATAATATTACATGTTCCTCTTACAAAACATAAAAACTCAATGTAATTCATACTTTCATTATAATAAATGAATGGTTTAATTCGGTTGGAGTAAACCACACAATACAGGTATTGTACTGTATGTTGTCAGAATTTCAAGTGCACAGCATTGTTTTTGAGCAAAAGACTTGTTTCTTTCAATAATAAATATGGTATATCTTTCACACAAGTGGTTTTTATTATAATACAGAATTAACAATAACATTATACATTGAAGGTGTACACTGGTCACAGTCATATACAGTAAAGTAATGTTCTGCACTGTAAGAATACAGTACAGTAGGTCGCGTCAGAAATGACAGGATTAGTTTAATACATGAAACCCACCACCAGAGGGGGACTCTCTACCAAGTATAAGACATTTCACGTCTGTACTGAAGCTGTGCATGGCATATGAAAACCTGTATTTCTTAAAAATGTACTGCAATACTGTATATGTATAGGCTCTATTCACCTTTTAACAAGCAAACATGCCCTGGATGACCAATCAGTTTCTCTTCACATTAAATATCCCAAAACGTTATGATATTTTATCCAAAATTGTATCCAACTAATGTTGTTTTTAAAACCTGAAGGCTAAAACTTGAGCATTTTCTTTTGGAACCTGGGTTTTTTTAGTGAAAAAATAAATGACCATTTTTTGAAAACACTGTACTTCTGGTTCATTTAAAAATAAAACAACTATGAAGAGCATTTTTTATTCCAAAAGCACATTGTGTCCATCCTATTTATGTATAAAAAACCCAGTTGCAAAGAGAAATTAAAAAAATATATTGTGACTTATTGCACTAACATCTCAGTCCCACAATATCTAAACACAGTGTGTACACACTTATAATACACGTTATAATACACAATGTTAATAATACACAATGCAAAATAATTGAAAACATTAATCTTAACTGCTAATCAATACTGACTTAAATCCATCATTAGTTGGCTCTATTTTACAGACAGATGTGCACATATTTGTAAATGTACAAAAGAGAAACAGCATCAAATGATTATGTTGAACTAGAAAATCCTAAAATCATTCTGATAACTCATGGACAGAATTAAGCTTGAGTGAAGCCATTGATTAAATAAAAAGAAAACAAGTACTCAGTAACACATACAAATACTGTAGTACAGAAAATAGCAACCAGATACTGTATACTGTATTCCTGGGCTCAAAGAAAGGCCCATGTGGACTGGTAAAATAATTGAACTTTTTTAGTCTTCAAAGAGAGAAGACTGCAAGAAGATCTGATTTGAGTTTTCAGAATCCTCGAGGACAAGCCCAAGTCAAACAAGTGGACTTCTGAATCACCTGGAGGCTGATACCCTGTCTCCTTTCAAGAAACAGCTGGGTGCGATCCTGGGATCACTCATCTACTAACAACATAATTGTGTTATAACATGTTTGTATTATTTGGTTTATGGCATTTCTTAATTTTCTTATGTTAAAGCTTTTACATTTTCTACAGATCCATCCAGTCAGAATGCGCAAAGCATAATGCTGGGTTACAACGTGTTGTAATGCCCAACAGCCTTTAATTTTTTTTTAATATTCTGAAGCAGGAATGCACTTCTTTTCTAAAACCGCCATGTGGTACAGTGAATGCTTATCGTGGCAGGTGGAAGAATTCTGGCTGCCACATGAAACACCTGGGTCAGAATCCCAGCCAATTCTCACCCCATGAGGAATAATCTTTGTCCAGTAATCAAATTTAATTTCTTATATTTATTTAATTTTTTATATATCACAGTACAGTATGTTAAATATTACACATAAAGGTAGGGCTGTTTCACAAAGCAAGATTACTCATTCAAAACTAATTTTTACAACTTGAAACATTTCATATTGCTGTTTATCATTTCATGCATCAGTTTTGAACAATGTTAGCCCATTTCCCTTTACAAAACTGCTTTAACTTGGTGATGTTTAAGGATTGTGATTTGTGGGTTCCTGTGCTGGACTGTTTCTATTAATGCTTATGGCCTCATCTCTGACAAATTAACTCAGTTAAATATTTATGACATATTACATTTTCTTAAAAAAGGCTTTAACTAGAATGTTGTAATACGTACAAACTTTGTAACAGGAAGTCAGTTGACCTTTTATCTGAAATGTGTGTGGTGCTTTGTATATGTATTTTTACTTCACTCCTGTCTCTTGTTATCTAGCACTATTTATTTTAAAATAGAACTCATACTCAATACTCATAACATCTTTCTCTCAAGCCAGACCACTATTCTTTTTCTGAGAAATAAAGTCTCTTACTATTGGCTTCACATCACCTACATCAGCAATGACTCTGATTCTACTGATGATCTGTAAGTGATTTTGAAATATTGAAAATCTTCTTAAGAAGTTTGATTTTTAAAAGAACTTATTTTTGAGATCTGATGTTTAGATACTTGGGAAGCAAAAGCATTCCAAACTCTTTAATAAAAATGCATGCGTGAAATTTGTAGTTATGGTGTTTGCGACTGTGCTTCTTGTGTAGCCTGGGGATCTTAGTTTATTATTACAATGATACTATTAATAATGTTACAATTAATAATGCATAATGTGCATATAATGCATTAATACTTTACAATAGTTAATACTTTTTAAATATATATTATAGATATTTTCAGAAAATAGATTTTATATCCATATATATTTAATAATTACATACAGTATTACACAAAAGGGGAGAATGTTTTTTAAATACATTTGTTACAGAGGACAAAGGGAATTAATAGAAAAATATACAGATGTGCCTTATTTAGTGTATATGTATGTAGTATATAATAGAAAAAGAAATGTATAGTATTTAATATTTGTCTTTAAGATATATTCTATTTAATATACTTAATATTGTTTATTTTCTTTGATAGATTTGCCTTGCCTTTCCTTTTCCTTATACTTGTATTAGTTGTCAATGCACCACATTGAAGTATTCTTTCAGTACTCAACAGTACTTAACTGTACTTAACAGCAGTTAAACTGAGTTAGAAATAATGTTGCATTGTGCTTTTCCTCAAAGTTACAGCTATAAAACAAGTGGAAACTAATTTTACAGGTATGAATGGAATCTTACTTAATTTTATGTTGTGCACATATACAGTATGTTTGTCTTGTGTTTCTTTAGTAAAAAAGCTTATTGGTTCTCTTGGAATTGCTGTGATATCCTCAACTGTCACGGTCTTTCTACATTGCCTAATTTGCTCACCTTTTTCCATCCTAAAATAACCCCCAAATAGCTTTGGGAAACGATTTAAATTAAAAAGTTATATGGAGGACAATTTAGAAATGCACATTAACTTAGAATATGTGTCTTCAGATAACGAGAGGAAACTGGACTAGCTGGAGAAAACCCACACTAGCTGTGGTACATCAGAATAGCAATAAACATTTTAGTTGCACTATAAAGAAAATAAATTCAATATAATTTAGCAAATCTTTAGTTTTTAAATATAAAAATGTAAAAAAATGAAATTTACATTTACATTTTCCTATTATAGTGTGTAATTTTTCATCCGGAAAGCAGAAAATAGTTTTTCACATTTACTTTTATTGTACTTTTTTTGTCTTTTTGTCTTCTTTAATTCATGATGTACAGTGTCCTTAGGTTTGGCGCTTTATAAATACAAGTTGTTTTTGTTAATAATAATAATAATAATAATAATAATAATAATAATAATTAGAATGAATATCAGTCATGCAGATGTTTCAGATTTTTTCTTTTGATTTCTGTTTGTAAAGATCTTTTGATCTTTGATCATCTGTAGTTTCTTATTGAAGTTTATTAGAGCCACAGAGAAAAAATATTTTTTTAGATAGTATCTCGTTTATACGAGAAAATTATTGCGTTTAAACGCAATAGTTAATTATTGAACAATGTTGCCTACTGTATTAATACTGTATATTGCATTGTACTGTATATGCAATAATATTGTCCTGTGCAAAGATGCATTGACTTTAACAACAGCAGAATATCGTCACATGCCTCTTTTGGAAAAAAATAATCTAAAGCAGCACGTGTTCTATCTTTTGTATACATGAAGTACAACACCGTGCCAGTAAGCATCCCCAGGTTAAACACATATTGTTTTCGCTGTTTCTCTGTCACGTAGAAATGACCAACTTTCCAAACGCATGTTCTTCTTGATGTTAAGCTGCAGTAACGTATCTTGTACATACAGTAGGTTTTTGCCTACTTTTTAAAAATTGAACTGAATACATTCACGATGACTTGATAGTAAGATGTATACCAACTGTTATTGCTGGTAATGGTAAACGGCAAGCCAACAACGTACAAACTGTATAAGGGGTTGTGTGCCGTCCTGTAATTAATCTTTTTGTGCGGCATTACCCTATCTCTTTACATTCACTTCTGTGCAACCGGGCACACGAATACTGTCTCTTCTCCCTTCGAAATATACTTTTCCTGCATTTTGCTGTGTAATTCCAAATTCAAATGCATTTGATGTCATATACTGTAGGCTTTTGAGGATTTAACAATTGACAAACAATAACAGTAACAGCCAACAGTTGGTATTATGTCTGACTGTCAAGTCATCGTAAATGTATTCCATTCAATGTTTAAAGAGTCGGCAAAAACCCACGTAGAGTAAATGTTTCTGCAGTTTCACAAGAATAGCATAGTGTAACGCATACGGCCGACATTAGAGGTTGTGCGAGCCGGCTTACCAGTGCGGTGACGTCACCGCCCTTCCCTGTTAATAGGAGGGACCTCGACCGCCAAGCAAAGGGGAGATTTCCCTTTAGCTCAACTGGCTAGGTCCCTGTTGAGTGATGCCGGAGGCCCGGGTTCGAGTCCCCAGTGGTGGGGGGCCGACCAGAGGCAGCAGCGGCGAGGGCGCATACCCACCTGAACCCGAGAGCGCTACATTGGTGTCAGGAGTGGGATGGGATAGCCCTTCACCGAGGACGACGAATTAAGCGGGGGAGAGTGTAACGCATATGGCCGACATTAGAGGTTGTGCGAGCCGGCTTACCAGCGTGGTGATGTCACCGCCCTTCCCTGTGAATAGCAGGGACTGCAGCTGCTGGGCTGAGGGAAGATTTTCCTTTAGCTCAACTGGCTGGGTCCCTGTTGAGTGACGCCGAAGGCTCAGGTTCGAGTCCCCAGTGGTGGTGGGCCGACCTGAGGCGGCAGCGGTGAGGGCACATATCCACGTGAATCCGAGAGCACTACAATATGTTTGGAAAGCCGTGTCATTTCTACTTGTCAGGGAAACAGCGACAAACACGTGTTTAACTCAGTAATGCTCACTGATGCTCTGACGCTCTACTTCATGTGTACAAAAGACAGAACACGTGAAACTGCACAAACATGTACTGTACATGGGTTTTTGCTCTTTAAACATTGAACAGAGTACATTTATGATGACTTGACAGTCTGCTTCACATCAAGAAGAACATATGTTTAGAAAGCCGTGTAATTTCTACTCGTCAGAGAAACGGCGAAAACAATACGTGTTTAACTTGGGAATGCTTACTGACACGGTGTTGTACTTCACGTATACAAAAAAAGAACATGTGCTCCTTTAAATTATTTTTTTGCAAAAAAGAGTGTGACAACATTCTACTGATGTTAAAGTCAATGCT